TCGAATGGTGTCCTAAACTTTCCTTTTCTCCACCAAAACCCACGAAAAAAGAAAAAATATACTTGTCGTATGCTTGTCGTATTAATATGGATTACAATCAACACGGGAGGCAGACATATTTCTGGAAGGTGGCCGACTCACGAGGCCGTTACCTTTCATCCCTGACAAGGTATATAGAAGTGGCTGAGGCGGCCTTCACCTACAAAAATCAGGCCAAAACGAACTAGGTTCGATGGGATCAACAGGCCGCGGCCTGTCATACGATGAGTCTTCGAGTGTTCTGAAAGAGAAAAATGGCTTCTGCATTGCTTCCTCAAAACGCTACGATTTCAGCAGGAGGCTGAAGGACTGCAGACCAAGCAGGATGTTCCGGGAAGTTCTGCATGCTGAGCACTATATAGACTGTCAGACAAAATACAGACCCTTCATGTCGCACGGTACGAAATCGCGACACAATGTCTCCAAGTCACCACCACTCCGGAATCCCTAAGCCCTGCTGGAATGTTGGGAGGAATTCGACAGTCGCTCACTTTCTAGAATACATGCAGGCCCACAAGCTCCTAAACCCGCAGCCTGCATGCCCGAGAACCCCCATTAAGCAATTCTGGGACCTGCTTAGAACGCGGGACTTTCGAATTGGACTGACCTTCAGATATTTCAGGATTGGAGGAGGACCCCTCTTATCAAGCTTATTAATGCTTGAAGCTCCTGTAAAAAAATGCCTCAGGCTTGCCTCGATTTTTCGAGATCATTTCAGAAGTTCCGGGTTGCAGTATCTGTGACCGTGCCGGCTCTCGTTATGGAAAGGCTGACTGCACGGCTTGGTGCCTCAGAATTGAGCGGCATGATTTCACCGATCGGGTAATCGTTATTGAAAACGACATCCTTTGCTCCACGACCTCAATGCTGTATACCGAAAAACCAAAAAATCTCCTCTGAAGCCTGTTATGTCCGACTGGGCATGAGTTCAAGTTGAAGCAAGAACGGCGCAGGTAGAAAACATGCCTCGAACGCCTTCGACAGAAAAGTAGGATTTTGGTTGGAAGGTCCGGCCTTGCTTTCGGGCTCGCATGCCGAGCTGGTGACCCTCAGCTGCAGGACACACTTTTCCTCGGCTTGGAGCGTCCGGGTCGTCTCAGCGGCCCCAACACAGCCGGTTTCGCACGAATTCCTGGACGGGACTGTTTGGAGAGAACAGCAAGCATGGGTTTCCTAGAGATTACACAATGCTTCGCTGAAGTATGTTTTTTTACCGTGGCAACACTCTCCGACTGCGTGTTGAGGAGGGCATTTGTGTTCGTTCGGAATCGTTGAAGGTCATGTCGAGTACTCATGGAACAGACTTCGCGTCCCGAGAATAATGAGGTTGTAGTCACGATCCATGCATGCATTCCTTTCCAACGAAACCGCACCCCTTCACGCTAGAGAGCGACTCTGCAAACCTTGGTTGAATGCACAAATTATTCCGAAAGTCTAAAGCCCGAAACCACGGAACAGTCAGCACGGCGCCTCGCACCCGGTAGTTATGCCGACTCGGGAGGGGGCTGGGACGACTCCGACTCCAGCTTTCCTTGGGACGCAGGGCTTACCACTCAGTGCTTGGAGATGGGGTGAATTACAGACCCCAGAAGACCCAAACTGTAGACCATCGACCTGGATGCTACAGGGTTCCCGATCGTCCAAGGTCGCAGTGAGGTTCGGTTTCCTTTCCATGCAGGCGCTGAGGCGACAAACTCACAGGAAAGTTGGATGCGCCCTTCGGAGGCTCTACTCCAGTCAGGTTCGACTTCTCCTGACACCGAAGCTTACAACTCGCTTAAAAGCCTCGAGCCTCGGGTCCACAAGCCCAGAACCCCAAAAGAACTCAGAGCTTCCAAAGTCTCCAGCCCTAGCTGAAGAGCTCAAGCGCGCAAAATGTTCTAAGCTTTGGCGTTGTACAACTTCGGGCCCATTGGCGAGCCTCCTGTCGTCAAGGACTTGGGTGCGCACGGAAATCATTGGGGGGTCTTTGTGTTTAGGTCCTTGGAGTAGAGAGTAAAGGGTTGAGCGCCGCATTTCGGGGTCTTCGTCAGGAGCCAGTACGATGAAACGTGTTAATCGTCATGCAGCAACACAAACATCACAGTAGTGATGTACTCATCCCTGACCCTTAAATCCAGCCCGGATGCTCTTCTTCCACATCCTCGCCATCTCGAGGATCTTGAGATTCTGTGTCTCGGAGCTGTCCTGGCTCGCGGCCGTTTTTTTCGACTGAAGGGCTCAGGCACGAGGTCTCGGGTTGAGAGCTGCATGCTCATGCGAGGGTCGTCTTTCGGTTGCAATTCTTGGGAATCCGCAAGTGCTAAGTGTAGAATCATGGGGGGGATGCCCTTCGATGCATCTCGGGCAATCCGAGCTTGCATTTTTTGACTTGCTGGCAGGAAGAAGAACAAGCAGCAGCAGTCGTTGTCGTCGTCGTAGTAAAAAAGTCGAAGTAGTAGTAGTAGTAGTAGTAGTAGCAGCAGCAGCAGCAGCAGCAGTAGTAGTAGCAGCGGCAGCAGTAGTACCCGTTGCAGTAGGAGTAGTGGCAGGCAACCCCCACCCTGACCACTCCAAAACTCTCTAGGTGCATAGCCACTTCAGCTTAAAACGTGGAGCTCTGCTCGCTGGAAGCCGCAGACCGACGCCTTAGGGCCTTCGGGAAGAGGATTTAGGATGAAACAGCAGGTCAGCAGCAAAACGCGGTCTGTGGTGGCAAATCCTGCGGGTCGCAACACACGAGCTGTCTTCATCGAGGCCTGATTGTAGAATGCCTGAACCGTATTACTTCTAGCGTACCTCACGCCGTTTAAGCCACACTCCTTCTCGGCTTCGGCCAAGAAGCAAAAGCCTTTTCATGAAACCTGTCCGGTCGCGAAACCAACCTGTGACACAGCCGTGCCCCGCTCGACACGACTGTTCTGAAGCTCTCTGGAGCAGTTTTGCCGAGCAAGACCTGCGCTTTTGCGATCTCAAGAGCTCTTTCCTCATGGCGAGTGGCCTGGACCGACGTTCGCCATCGAGGCGGAGGGCACCAGCCCCACCCACCAGGATGGTGCATGGCCTAGGCCTAAGCCCTCAGACGGGGTTGTAGGCTTGAATTGGCAAGGTTGGGGGGGCTTGTGAGTTGCGAGACAGCCCATCAAAACCCGATTGAAGCTGATCGGAAAAACAGAACAAAATCCTAAACCCCAGACCCCAACCACGGGCTCCTCTGGGAAGTTGTAGTCCATGTACTCCTGGAGGCACAGGCTGCTCGGGACCCAAGCCCCCTTCCGAATCTTCGCTTACATGGACTGCTACACGAAAAGAGATTAAACGGAGTCCGGCTTGGAATCTATGAACACGAAACCGTTCGGGGACCCCCTCATACAAAAAGATGTCGAAGAACCATCATCATCGTGATACTAATGCGAACCATAGCGGCAGAACCCCGTGAGCCCGACAAAACTGCCACACAATGCCGAAGAAGAGTCAATGGAATCTTCTCAGGCCATCCTCGCAAACCTTCCGTAGCCCTGGAGGGTTGCTTATGTGAAACGGCACAGCCTTGGATCCTCTTCATGTGCCGACGGCCTCTACACAACCAGTCCCAAGCCTGAAAGCCCGAAACCACAGAAAGAAGACTCTGAAAAGAAACAAGTTCCGGCACGCCTCAAAGGCCTCCTGACCATCTTCTCCCTGGATGGCTTTCCTGTCGGACTTGTTGAAGGGATTAAGCTCGGGAGATTGATCTGGATTCAGGGGCTTGCGGGTGTCTGGCTTCGTGTTTCTAGGGTCGACGCTCTTTCGGAGTGGAGGGTGTATCCTTGGATCATCTTGAGATGTGTCAGACGTTTCGATTTTGGAAATGTAATGAGAAATTAAACTCCTATGCTTGGTTGCAGCCTCTTTCCTTACACCTGGGCGCTTGGCGTTAAGGTTCAGGGTTGCGTGTTGGCAAACCCTAACATCGATAGGCTTCCGAGTCTTTACGTGCTGACGGTGACTGGGAGTCAGCGTCCTCAGCTCAGCAAGCTCTGTGTAAATCTAGGCTGCAACTAGCCATATCAATGTGCCAAGCACCAGATTGTAGTTTGTTTGAGCTCCCCGTCAATTGAACCCGGTGGTCTTGAGGCTTATGCAGGAACAGCTCCCTGAGTGCGCGCCCACAACGGGAACTAACTAAATCCCGCTCCCTGCACCCGAGGCCCGAATAAGCCGTGCAACCGTAAACGACCAAAACAAACAACCCTTTTCACGACCCGACCCCAAAGTCCTCTTCTTGACCCGCTGCGGCTGCTTTTTCTCAGCGGCCTGCTTGGCGTTTCGGGGCTTCGGCCTTGTGGCCGTTTCGTGGTGGGCTTTGCGGATTCGGGGCTTCAAGCTTATCTTATCCGTATCTTCGAAGGTAAAGGTATCTGGATTCCGGGTTCAGAAACGGGCCGAGGCACCAAAATCAAAACCATGCATTGAGTCAGGGGTTGCCTTCAGTCTTCGGGATCTTGGGCTCTAAAGGCTTTCTGTTCTGAACTCGAGTTCTTCGGGGGCTGAGGAGAGGCTTTGGCCAGTCTTGCTTTGTGTTTGGGCGGTTCGGGCTGCAACGTGTTTTACCCCGAGGCCCCGAGATTGCAACTCTCTCCGGAAAACCGCGCTGTAGACAATGAAACAAGACCTGACACACCGAAGGACCTTGTCGCGCAAAAAGCCCGGAAAGGCATCGAACAACAGAACCCAAGCGTCAGGTCTTGCATCAAGCAGCACCCATGCAATGCCTGAATACGATCTGCGTCTAGACTCAGAGAATGTCGAAGACTCAAAAATATCCCGGCAACCCTCACAACAAAGCCGTTGCGACATCAAGCCCTCACCCGAACCCAAACCGAAGCCCTTAAACTGCTGACCAATCCCCGAACCCTGGAGCCTGAAACCTGAGACCCCACTCCCTGAACTGGTATGCCGTTCATTAAACCCTAGACTGCGGGGGCCCTGAGCCACAGGTCCTGCACCGACTCCTCGTCGCCGTGCTCTTTCTCGAGCTTCAGCCTCGCTGGCTTCGGCGCGAGATCTTTCTTTCGCGGGTGACAGTGCGACACGTATCTGTGTGGACTGAGCTTTGGAAGGCTCTGCAGGGGGTTCTCCCCGTCAGCCCCAAGCTCTAAAGCCATAAGACCTGCACTTCAACGGAGACGAACACCGTTGCCGAAATTGGGAATAAGGCTTTGGGTGTACCGCTCGGTGGTCGGAGGCTGAGGTTCCCGATGGTTCATCTATTGCAGCAGGTGTCTGGGTTTGTAAAGTAGGTGTTGGGTCGGATCAAGTCCAGGGTAACTCCGAGAGGCCCAGCATGAAGACCCTGAGTCTTGAGCTTAACACGTGATGTTCATAGAAAGTCACCGAAGTTAGCACAAAACACTGTGGCGGTGCTTCACCCTTACGGAGCCTTGCAGGGAAATTGGTCACGCCCAGAATCACCACAACTTCAACAAGTGGAACCTAACCTCTCTACTTCTTCACTCTAAACCTTTCATCCGAAGCCCAGCTGGGGATCGGGACAGGTGCTCCAGTAGCATGGCCCGCTCCTCGCTGCGGCTCTCTACCTGTGGGGCCGGTGATTTGGGGCTCTGCACATCGAAGCAGCGCAAGAGCATAACGCGTAAACCCCAAACCTCAATCCGCAAAACCCGAAAATTCTTATACCTTAAGGTAAAGTGGATACCGACCCCCAAAGCCACGGTGCCTTGAAGTGGCGAGAGCCAGCATCCAGGGCTTCCCTGGCCTTCGCCATGGACTGACAGGTCACAGCCTCCAAGAAGAGATATTCTTGAGCTTTCTTCTTGAGGTCTCTGACAGAATAAAGGATGCTGAAGGATCTCGAGCTTCGGTTTGGGGCTCTCTGCCATAAAGAAATGGCGTGAGTCTTCGAGCGAGGTTACGAGGTCTTATCAGGACTTTCTCAACCCTTGAGGGCTGCATGTGCTGCGATGGTACGATTGTAGGCTCATTTACGGTGAACATTAGGATGCATAACCTCTGGTGTGGGTGTAAGGCCCCCGTGGCTTTGTGCTTCGAACGATGTTTCTTGGAGATGCCTGGGTTGGCATGACTTAGGACTTCAAGGTTCGGGGGCGGCTGTTTTGTGTCTACGGCTACGGTTTAGGGTTTCTCGTTTAGGTTTCAGGCAAGGTCTCGTGCCATGGTTGGTCAGCATCCCATTATCCTACTCGGAGACGTGCAAGCACACCCCGGCTCGCAATTGCGAGACTCGGAATGATGCTCAAAGCTTCTAGACTGTAGACTTTGTTGCCGGCCTCAAAATCGCTGTAGGCGATGTAGACGCGGACATGGTGCGACTTGCTGAGCAACATCTGCCATACCTGCGCGACTCTGCCGGAGTAAACGAAACTGCAACGAGTGTCAGATCCTGGGTTTTGGGCAGGATTCCGGCTTCCACGTGTGAAAGTGCGGCTTTCGTTCTTTGTGTATGCTAAGATTCAGGCTGTGAGGCTGAATGGGAATGGGTGCTAAGGCTTCATCTTTGAAGCTCTCTGCGTGGACCTGAGGCGTGGCCTCATTTCGGCATGCTTCAGCAGCGACTCGGAGAACGACACAGAATCCCTGGTTCCATTTTCGGTTTCGGCTTAGTTGAGGGATTTACAAAGGGTCCTACAAGCATACCCCACCCTGAACATTCTCACCCACTGAGCTGCCCAAAGCTAGAATGTTGGGAAAATTGGGAATGTCTTTTGCACGCTGGCGGCCCTGGAATCCATGGACTCGCCTTCCCTCCTGTGCTTGTACTTTCGGCTTTCAAGGTTTACGCTTGGTTGTGGAGGCGGCTGCTGAAGAGAATTTGTTTGATAGCACCAATCAGGTTCAGTTTGGACCTCACGGTCTACGCAAATCCACCTTCTGCAGTTGCCATGTAGAACTACCGCTGGTCTCAGTGGGAAGTTCAGAGAGGATGGCTCTTTCCTACTTGTCTGCGGGTCATTGTCATACATGATCGATACTATAAGCATCGATTGTCGAAGCCCTCAAACCGCTTGAATTCAGCCCTGTACTGCCGACCCGGCAAACCGTTAATACGAACATGGCTACGGACTGCGGGCGGCTGAAGTGATTCTGGGACCGAATTCAGGCCTTCCGCGCATTGTCGGTCTCGCTCTGGCTCACCTTCACTTGGTGTAGGTTTAAAAAGAAGCCCCGTACGAAAGAAACAAAGCTCTCCTGTCAGTAAAACAAGACACACTACGAACCATGTGCAAAGTATAAGTTTTGGACTGCAAGCATGTCGAGCAATACCACTAAAACAGGAAAGCAAGCATTGAACGTGTGAACGCTTTGACTTCATGAGCGTATTTTCAAAACTGCTGTTGTTTACTTTGCGACTCAGAGTTCACGCATGACCAACGGCTGCTGCTGTGACAATAAAACAAGAACGGAAATGACAGTAGGAACGGTGCAGAACTACTTTGTTCTTCTTCAAAACACTGCCGGACGTAATATACAGCCTGGATTGCCCAAACTTGTAGGAATGCATGCGACCTTGTTTGTTGCTGTGGAAACCTTTGACTGATCGAGAACAGTGACTTTCTGGTTTGAAAGGATTGTTCTCGAGAAACTTCTGGAGTTTTGGCACCAATCGGCGTTCTCTGACATCCTGTATCTATTCTGGCACAGTGGTCTTCATTAATTGATTGGCTGCATGCTGCATAGAAGAAGACAGTATGCCCTGACCCTGTGTGTGCCGGACGAACATTGCTGTCGACTCCTGAGTGACCACCGGGCTTGCGTCTAGGCTGTCACCTTCGGCAGCCTTAAAATCAAGGTACTCCAGGTAGTCCAAGAAGAGGTCGGTTGCCCGCATCTCGGCCGTATCCGTAGCCCCTGGCAAGCGCCTTGTGCTCCTTGGCCTGGTGCACGCTGCGAACGTCCTCTTGTGGTTCCGAGTTTGTTCTTTCACCATGGCAACCAGGATCTCCTTGGCCTGTTGCTCATCAAGAACCTCGTTTCGCCGACGGGGGAGGTTGTGTTCTGGCCTTCCTCCAAGTCATGAAGGGCTCCGAAAACTAGTTCAAGTCCACCTGGCTCTCCTTCGCCTTCTCCTTCGGTGCCTTCCGCCTCGGAAATCAAGTCCTGCGGGGCGATGTGCAGCACTTGGTGTGCTTTTGAAGGTACAATCCGGCTGGAGGCATTCATCTCGAGCGGTTTTATGAACCCACAGCCACTCCTTGACATCTTTCGTCTTCAGCTTCCCCTGAATGAAGTTCAAGAGCACCTTCAACTCGTCATTCGTCAAGGCGAGGGCCATCGTCAGCAAGAAGCCCGGGTACTCTTCCGGGAGTTTCAGGCTGTGTTGTCTCACCTCGCAAAGAAAGCCTTGTTCGACTCCCCCTTTGTCCTGCGCAACGTGTTCGTGATCTTGACCAGGGTATTGATCATGTCATCCCGCTTGTCCTCACTGCAGAGCTCTTTAATATCCATGATCCTCAGGAGCTTCTCGCCACTGTCGGGATCCGACATCCACTCCTGTCCTTGGCCAAGTACTTCAGGTCATCGGAGGGTGTGCCCGTCAAGTTCTTTAAAAGCATGGGGCCTCGCGCGACCGAGGTTTCGTCTTCGTCGTCGCCAACCAAAGCTTAGCCCTTGTGATGTAGTCCTGAAAGGTCGTTCCATCCCAGGAAGGCGTCGGTCCGGAATATCCTCTATCGCCTGGTTCTCGTTCATCTTCCTCATCATCATCACGATCTCGCCTTGGCCTCCAGGCTCTGCCGCCTGAAGCGTTGGTCTGCCACCAGAAGTCTCGAAAGCGAGCAAACTCGCCTGGGTCAAGACGTCCTGCTTGCTCCTGCCGGTCAGCAGCGACTTGATGCCATGGATCAACAGGTTCCTCAACTTCCTCTTCTTCTTCAAGCGACCCATGGTCGGGAACAGGAGTAGTAGCAGCTCCATGGTCTAGGTGCAACGAAACGTCCGCTCAGAACCAGTACCCCTACTCGGTCCCAAGGAGCGAACCGGCTCCGCTACCACTGTGCACAGCACAGTGGTAGCACATGCCACGGGAAACGCATTTCCCTTTTTTCGCTTGGGCCAATCATCGATTAGATTCGTCTGCACTCGAAGGCATGCTTGCTTCACTGACAAGTTGTTGGGAAGTGGTTTAAACAGTCTGAAAAAATCGCACTAGAGTCTTAACGAGGGTTCCAGGATACGAGTAACAAATGCTGATAAGTATAACAACCTAGAAACGGCAGTAGTATCAATAAGCGCAACCGTAAGAATAATAATCACAACAGCAGCAATAGCGGTCGAAATCATAGCAACAGGAATGACAGGAGCAAGACGCAACAGTAATGATAGAGCAGGGATGGTACTGGCGATGTTCATTTCAACAGCAAGACTATGCTTGTTTTACTATACCGTGATACTCTGATACCCCCAAGCCCCATGGGAGCCTCCAGGTCGATATAGCGCTTCCAGACAAGCTCTGGCATGTCCAGGCGCTCCTCTCGGATTTTGCAGTGGTGTGGGATCTTGCGGGATGCACGGTTTGCGGTTTCAAGGTTGGGGGCGACATAGGGCGCGGCTGTTTTAAGGGGTGGCAGGGGTGAGGTCGGCTTAGGGCCTAAGGTGTAGGCTCTCTTGTACTTGTGTCATGTGCATCCTCAAGGTTGGAACATCTGATGGGATGTGCACGGAACTATGGGATGCTTCGTGGGAGCTCGGGAGATACTCCTTTTCACCATCACAGTACTTTGCAAGAATCAGTGTCGTCGCGTGCGTTATCTGAACGGCTTCATGAAGCTTTCTGTTCCCTTTGCAGATGCGCAGGTACTGGTAGTGGTTGCATATCCACTCCGTTTGTGCCCCCTGAGGCTGAAACGCCAAATCCACCAGCAACAGCTCACATTGCGGTCTTGAGGGCTGCTCCAGTTACTGAAAAGTGCAGCTGGAGCATTTTGACACTTGCCGCAATCGCAAACACAAAAGCCCAAGCCGTCAAACCCGCCCCAAGCAGGCGTGGGTTTCACACCAAGAGCGTCAACTCGACAATCCGACATGGTTGAGCTGGCGACTTGCCAAAGAGCTTTTGTCTACATCGCATCAACCTCCGGACCCCAAGGCAAGCCCTCGAGCAAAAAATGCTTCAGAGTTTTGTCAACTCGTCCCACGCCGAACAACCAAAAAAGCCCTGAGACTGAAATCCGCCTGGGTGACGGCCAGGTTGCAAAGGGCCTCGTATGGGATCTTTACACGGCTTCGGGAATCCTTTGTTGCAGTTTCAATGGTGCGTTTCACAGCGCCCTACTTGTACTCCAGGTCTGCGGCCTGGGCACTTCTAGGTTTTTGTTGCCTGGTGGCTTAGCATGAAGAGCAGGGACCGCAGGTGCAGGTCTTCTGATTAGGACTCTGAGAGCTTCAGGGCGCAGGCTGTTGGACCCGGAATTGTGAACCAAACCACAGTCCGCCGAGCGACGCGGGCGCGTTCGACTTCGCCCACAGAGTCCTGGCTTCAGCTGTTGGGGCGAAGGGTCTCGGCCGGTGGTGGGTCTTGGAGTGAGGCTCAGGAAGGATGGGTTAGGGCGCTGGGCTTTTAGCTTCGGGGATCTTACGATGTGGACCCTTGACATCATGTAGCATTACGTTCTGTGACATAATAACCTAAGATGGAAGAGAGTGTGTGTGTGTGTGCACATGTGTACACAGGTGACCATCGCCACAATATGATACCTAGCTTTGTGCGGTGTTGAGAGCCTTGCACAGGAATTTCTGAGAACGTCTAGCCGCCAGCGATGGCTCCGATCCCGGTCGCTGGGTTTGGAACTCTAAACTCCCCACACTCCGGACTCCCAACGCAGAGACAAGCGTCACTCGCAACCCGAAACGACTCTTGAAATCGAGCCGATTAGGTTCAAGAGTTAGTGGTTGGTGTGAGGAGCGGTACGGCATCCTTCAGGACCAAGAATCCCTGTGAAACCAAGCCACCTCAAGAACCTGATACACCGTCTCCCTCCCTCCTTTACCCAAGCCCACATTTTTTCAAGCAGAGTCGTAAGCCCCGTGAAATAACATGCATAGCGGCATAGCGGCATGGCGCTCAGCCGGTGGCTCTCAAAGCACTCAACCGCAGCCCTCATTAGCGGCCCCGGCCTCTAAGTCGACGAAGACGGTCCAGGCTTTCGGGTTGTGCGGCTGCACCTGGCTTTGGTTTTCTGTAGGAAGTGTAGGGTCTGAGCTGACGAACACAAAACCCTCACAACCTGTGTCGCAGCAAGGAGCTGGGAGCATCACTCACAGGGGCGGTGTGGGGAATCATAAGATCAAAATTGGTTCCAGTTTATGTTTGAAGCTTGAAACAATGAACCTTACACAAATCTCCTGCTCTCGAGTTTGCCGAGAAACGTAACTTGATGTAGCGTGGGGGTCGACAAATCTAGTGTCCCGGCCAAACCAAAAATCTGCCTTTGTGCATCGTACTGCCTCACATGCCTCTCCATCACGAAGACATGAACAAGTCCCGTTGCGAGAAGGCCTCCAGGAACTTGCTGTAGATGGTGCCTGGATGTAGGAGTGCTATTTGCGATGCAAGTTGTCGGCTTGACCCCGGCTTGTGCATAAGCATCCTTGAAGTTTGGTGCCTCAACTTCTCCGGCAGGACCCCGGCCTTCTAAGCACAACCGAAATTGACTAGCGAGTGGCCTCCAAAACGATTATCTACCGAAACATTGCTTCACGACGGCTTTGCAGCTCCACGGGCGATAGGACCGCTAGGACAAGCCTCAGGGATCGGCCTGCAAAACTGCTTCGTGATGTCCAGTGGGCCCGGATCCCTCCAGCTCTGGTCGTCCAGAGCCCTTGACAAACCCTCGGAGGAACTCAGCGTCTTGAGCCAAGGACTTTTTCGGAGTATGACTTGGAGATTGCCAACCGCGATTTCAAGCCCGAGACTCTAAGCCCACTCTTCCCTGTAAAAATCACGAGTTTGAAGCTGATTTCTGCCAGGCTGCGGCAACGATCTATGTTGCCCAGGCGCATCTCCAAGTCCTAGAGGAAGCAGCACCGGGTGTATTGTTTCGGCGTGAGGTCAATTCCGCTTAATCTCGAGGACTTTGGGTGCGTGGTTTTGGGCCCGAGCATGAAGTTCATGAAGCTGGCCGCCCAAACTCCAAAAACCTTCCACCCACGAGGTCGACCGGGTCCCCTGGCCCGGAAGCCCCTCAACTCTCCGACCCAACACAGTTTGAGAGTCTGCAGAATCTCAGCCTTCAACGCCGAAAACCTGGAGACGCCAGGCCACACCGAACCGAGCGGTAGGTCAGGTATCTGGTGTTTGAACTTCCAGTGAAGTGCATTCCCTTGCAAACCTGCACTCTGTGCGAAGCCGAGGTGCCGCATAGTCCAGGAAGATCCGCTCCTGCCAAGAGTAAATTTCTGGAGGACCATCGTGGGAGCGGAGGGCGCGGCGCGTGGAGTTCAGAGTGTCCTTTGAGCATGTCTCTTTGATGCCACACTAGGCCGACGAGCCGTTCTCCCACAGCAGAGCTCAGCCAGCAAGCGGTGTTAGCATCAGCCAGTTGGTCTATGAGCACCTCTCCGCTGCTCCCCTCAAGCGTCGTCAACGCCATCGACGATGCGGCCGAGCATCATCGGCATCAGCCGTGCGGCCGGTTGCGGTCGGCAGGAGGATCACGCATCATCATGATCATCATGATCATCATCATCATCATCCTCCTCCTCATCATCATCATCAACATACCAAGCCGGGCTCCGGCCACCCGACATGTGACAGCGAGACAGCATGCCAGCAAAGAAAGCCTCACAGCCTCATGAATGTATCGACCCTTCTCGACACAAGATCCGATCAAAGTAGTGGTCGACCAAAGCACCACGGGGGAGAATGATTGAAACAGGTCGACCGGCCCGGGCGCGTCCAAGTCCAAACACGGCATCATGCTGCCATCCGGG